TCTCATGAGATAGCTGAACGCTGAAATAAGTTCATGTGTCTAGGTTTCTGTGTATTGCTGTGTAGCATAGAATTCTTAAATGGAATTGATCTTGGGGAATTGAAAATGCACATCTACACCTTAGGAATATAAGATTGCTGATCCCTGAAGAGTTGGAAATTTTATATAAACACATTCGTAAGTTTAACAGTAGGAGACCCTGACTTGAAAACTCCTTGTCAACCCCCCAAAAAACTTGTAGGAATGCGACAGGGGATTCAGTCTGCTACAGAAAAATGTTCAAAGTACTTGACCAACCAAATCACAGCAGGATTACAAAGTTCTCGGAAAGTGTAGCTGGGAAATACTATTGTCTTGGATACTGCAAGAAAACCTGCTTGTGTAAAATCCATATGGGCTGTGCACTTACCCCAGTGAAAAGAAATGCGCCATGACTTCTCAAAACAATGATTATGAGAACTGGCCACAAGTCTTATAATTAACAGGAAACTCTGGAATAGAGAACGGGTGTGAATGTAGTATTTCTCCAAGTCAAAGCAAATTGTCATCACTATATCTTTAATGTGTCTAAAGCATATTTAATAGTCATCCATCAGTTAATAATTTAAAAAACCATACACAAATCTAACCACATTTAGTAAAACAATAACTTGGTCCAAATGAGTATATTAGTACTGTGTAAAGCATGGTTTTGCTGTAATGGCCAGTGCACAAGAACGTTAAATTGGGTAAGAATGGTGTGCAAGCTTTCAAGTTGTAACTTCCTTGCCAAGTCAGCCAAGCTGAAACCAAGCTAAAATTCTGTTGGAAAAAAAGTTAAGGTAGCTTGTGCCAGATATAATCAGTTCAAGCAAATAATTACAAAACATCATCTCTGTAAATATTAACTAGCAGTGGGTTGGGATCGCTTACCTTTACTATTTAGCAAGCATATGAACTTTAATTCCTTGGCATGGCTTTCAAATCAGTGAACTTTTAATCCAAGGACAGAAATCTGAGAACTAGGTTTGTGCTAGGATAAATTATGGCCTAGTTCGTAATCTTTTCTGCATTGCTCTTGATATTTCAAGAACTGTTTGGATTCACTACATTGTTGCATTTCAGATATTTGGTGGTATTACAATGGTTGGTGCATATTTCATCTCTTAGTTTCATTAAGCCTGCAGGTATTTTCGGTTTTATTGTTCTTTAGGATAGAGCATGAAAACTTGCTGAACTCTTTATGTTGCGAATGCCATTTAGCTGTCACTTTTCCTATCATAACCTGAAAATGACTCGTAAGGGAAATTTACTAGTAAGCTTCCACTTCATGGAACAAATCTTATTATGACAAGTGCGAGAGGAACTTATAATTCTGTAGCGTATTGCCATCCCTTCAAAGGAGTGTTCTTTGCTTCAGCCAGCCTGGAATAGGCACCTTGCAGTCCTGTTCAGACTGTGTGTGAGGGGGTGGTGAAATGATGCACACCCTAGCCTTTCCCAGCAGTTCTGTATGGTCCTAGAGGGTTTCCATTTGAGACTGGCTCAAATGTGGGAGGTAATGGATGGTTTTTGACAGCAGAAAAAGAAAAAGATATCGTCCCCCCCTTTTCTTCTGCATAAAATATCCCTGGATAGTTCAAGGAGAAATGTAACACATCCACACACCAAAAGTAAGTAGCATGAATCCCCAACCCTATTCTGTCCCTTTAGAATACCATTTACAAGCTCTTGGGGACTTGAGCAGCCCACTTAATCTTCTCTCCGGTTTCCTCTGTCTTAGTTACTCTGAACCACAGAAGTAAATGAAGAATTGCATAGTTTACCTGACGTTGGCTCATCTGTTGTTGGATTCCAGTTCTCATCAGCCTCAGCTTAGCATGGCCATTAGGGATAATGGAAGCTGGAATCTAGCAGTATCTGGAGCTCCACACACTAGCCTCACCTGATTTAAACCCTCTCCCCTTCTCCGGGGTGGAAAATTTCAGATTTTTACCGTAGCTGATTGAGCCAGTAGCTTGGCTTCCTACCCCCGCCTCCCAAAAGTAGCCGTAGCAAGCAAGAAAAGTTACTGTTGTGGTGGTTCCATGTGAAACTGGAAATACTATCCCTAAAACTGGGTGGCCTAGTTTTTAGTATTATTTCTGCAGGCTTAATGGTCATTAACATTCCATAAAACTTAGAAACTCACAAGTTCTTGCAGGCACGTTTTTCAAAAATGTTTAGAATATTAAATACTATTTAAACCTAGGTAGAATATATACACAAGCTACTTCCTTATTTTTAGTGGCTGCCTTTGGTTTCCATACCGATAGGCTTTTGACCAAAGGGATGCAGGTGACACTGTGGTCTAAACCTCTGAGCCTCTTGGGCTTGCCAATTGGAAGGTTGGCAGTTTGAATCCATGAGACAGGGTGAACTCCCATTGCTCCCAGCTTCTGCCAACCTAGCAGTTTGGAAGCACACTAGTGCAAGTAGATAAATAGGTACTGCTGTGGCAGGAAGGTAAATAGCGTTCCCATGTGCTCTGGTTTCCGTCACAGTGTCCCGTTGTGCCAGAATTGGTTTAGTCATGCTGGCCTCATGACTTGGAAAGATGTATCAGGACAAACACTGGCTCCCTTGGCCTGAAGCGAGATGAGTGCCACACTCCATAGTCGCCTTTGACTGGACTTAACCATCCATGGCTCATTTACCATTTCCCTAGGCATTTGACCACTTGACTTTGCAGTTAAGGAGAATGATGACACTGAGAAGTTATGAAATCCCCATGGTTCTTCGGAAAAATACTTATCAAGCTTGTTCCTGCTTAAAGGTGACAGGAAGCTGAACAGTTGCCAATTCTTTAGAAGCTTTAATTCTTTAGAAGCTTACTATCAACCCACCTGGAAGACTCTTGGTAATATGAATAGATTGTCAAAAAGTTGCTATGTGTGAGTGTCTGGAGGCGGTGGAGGATAGATGGCAGCTAACAGATTGAGGTTGAATCCTGACAGGACAGAAGTACTGTTTTTGGGGGACAGGAGGCGGGCGGGTGTGGAGGACTCCATGGTCCTGAATGGGGTAACTGCCCCTGAAGGACCAGGTGCGCAGCCTTGGAGTCATTTTGGATTCACAGCTGTCCATGGAAGCTCAGGTCAATTCTGTGTCCAGGGCAGCTGTTTACCAGCTCCATCTGGTACGCAGGCTGAGACCCTATCTGCCTGCAGACTGTCTCACCAGAGTGGTACATGCTCTGGTTCTCTCTCGCTTGGACTACTGCAATGCACTCTATGTGGGGCTACCTTTGAATCCGCGGCAGCTAGACTGGTGATGGGAGCGACCGCCGAGGCCACATAACACCGGTCTTGAAAGACCTACATTGGCTCCCAATAAGTTTCCGAGCACAATTCAAAGTGTTGGTGCTGACCTTTGAAGCCCGAAATGGCCTCGGTCCAGTATACCTGAAGGAGCGTCTCCACCTCCATTGTTCTGCCCGGACACAAGGTCCAGCGGCGAGGGCCTTCTGGCGGTTCCCTCACTGCGAGAAGCCAAGTTACAGGGAACCAGGCAGAGGGCCTTCTCGGTAGTGGCACCCGCTGGAAAAAGGTTTAAAATTTGCAGGACTAAAAGACTACTATGCTTTTGAGCATACATGTCAGATGAAACGTAAGGCCATTTTGGAGAGAGACCATTTGGGGTCTAATCAAAGTTTGTTTCCTTTAGTACAACTCTGATTTTGTTATGTTAAAAGAGGATAAAATAACTGCTAGTTGCTATTTGGGGGAGGAAATGGGGACTCATACTTTCATGTGTTATCTCTCTCTTGGAATTGCTGGAAGAAATAGAAATTTATTTGCCTGTTCTCTGCCCTTGCATTGGCTGCCCGTCTACTACCAAGCTAGGTTCAAGGTCCTTGCATTTGTCTAGGGCATCTTGTGGGTTGCCCAAAGCCTTATAACCCAGTGCAGTCACTCAGATCCTCCGCCGTTGGTTCTCCCCCAGGTTGGCCAGGCTCATTTGACATCAACACAAAAGTGAGCCTTTACTGTCATTGGCCCAGTCCTGTGGAATAGATTCAGCAGGCACTTTCTGTTTCAAGCTTTGCAAATGCGGAATTTTTTTCTATTCTACCTGGCATATGCCAGCAAACAGGAACAGATGTCAGCCACTGTTGTGCTCTCTTGCACCTCTGTTCAGAACTAATAGGAGGGTACATACCCAATCCAATGAAATTTGGACATTATGAGGGGGCTAAGCCAGTGCAAACAGGAGCTAAGCGGGAAAAGCAGAACAGCCTGTCATGAATTACGATTATTTTGTATTTTTACTGAGCCCTTTCGCAGGTGCCATAGGCAGTAATGGTCAGCACACTGGTGTTTATGCCCACCATATTGGCAACCTTTGAGCTGAATACACTAGTTCTCATTTTTGTATATGTGTTTGGTATTTGTACGTTTGTCTATTTTTTTTAATCCGACTTTGAGCTTTATACGAACCCAAGATGTGTGTGCTATGCCATATAGATGACATGCAGAACTGACTTTGTAGGACTACAGTATAAAAAGTTTTGAGGGGAGGAGCCTGCAGAAAGTTACTTTGGACTGTGTACACAGACAAGGGAGTTAATTTATTTGTGATGAAATATTTCATTTATAACAAAAACCCTCCCTTCTGTTGCATTTCTTTTAACAATATTTGGGTATGATTCATCTAAACTGGAGCACTCTTTAATCCTACCAAATGCAATGGGGGAGTTAAATTTTACCTGCTTAGATATATTGTGTTAACATAAATGGGACTTAAATGAGCTTGATGTTGAGTGAATATGCTGGTACTAAGTGGGGGAAGGCAGTTGTGTTGGAGCAAAGGTTGGTTGAGGAAGTCAGGAATAAGTCCTGCAGTGTATGAATTGGTTGGGGGGATTGTAGGTTGCAGCTTGCTGGAGCAGCAGAAAAATAGGGGTTCTGGCACATTGACTTGCATATATTTTTGAATGTATCTTGCATCCATTTACAACTTTATTTCTTTTGGTTTGCCAGGTACTCAAGGAGTTACACCCAGCCCTGTGATTGGGCTACAGACACCTTCCACGGGCCTTTTGGGTGCACGGCCTGGTTTGATACCACTCCAGCGACCCCCAGGAATGCCACCGCCTCATCTGCAACGGTTTCCAATGATGCCACCTCGGCATATGCCTCCCCATATGATGCACAGAGGCCCACCTCCAGGCCCAGGAGGTTTTGGGATGCCTCCGCCTCATGGGATGAAGGGCCCCTTCCCCCCACCTGGCCACTTTGCAAGGCCCGGTGGAATGCCTGGAGGGGGGCCCGGTGGACCCGATGATCGAGATGGAAGACAGTTCAGGAATGACAGGCAGCCGTTTACTCCAAATAGAGACCAGGAAAGGTTTGGAAGGAGGTCTTTTGGAAATCGGATAGAAAATGAACGGGACCGCTATGGTAACCGCAATGACGACAGAGATCATGAACGCCTTGGTAATCGTGAAAGGAGAGAATGGGGAAGAAGAAGCCCTGAACGTGATAGACACAGAGACTTGGAGGAACGAAATAGGCGTTTCAGTGGACAGAGAGAGAGAGATTCTAGAGATAGGGAATCTCGCAGAGAAAAGGACGAAAATCGAGGAAAGGAGAAACCAGAGTTGACAGACAGGGTAGATGGTGTTAAAAACCATGAACCCCAGAGCAGCAAAGTGGAAAATACAGACTCTGTTCCAGAACTTAAAAAGGGGGAGGCTGAACCCACAGGTGCAAAACCTGCTGAAGAGTTAACATCTGAGACTACCTCATCTCTTGAACAACCTGAAGAGTCTACTGGCTCAGTCACAGAGGCTCCTCGCTAGACTGGAATACTTGTCAAAAAAAAAAAAGTGACATTGGAGTGTAGAGCTTTAGAGTTGTACAGTATGCTGTATATTTGCTTTTGCTATTTCACAACTCCTCCATAGTTTATGGGATATGTAAGCAATTTGATTGCTTCCCTTCTATTTAAATAGCTACAAAAATAACACAAAAGAAATGAATAAACCATTACCCTTTTTTTGCTGTAACTTTTTAAAAGTTTTGACTTTAAAAAGTTTACAAGTCAGAATTAGAAGTGCTATTTTTTTTAATTTAAGTGAAGGTAAAGGTAAAAGCTCCTAAAAACAAATAGGGATGTGTTTTTAATAAACTCTATTTTCATAACAAACTTTAATGTGTGCTATTCTTCCTACACTGCACTGAAGTGGTAAAGGATTGTTCAACATCTTAAAGTTTGAACTGTTAATGCTGTACTGGAGTCTAAATTAGACTTTGTTTAAAGCTGTTAAAACATGTTTGTGTAACAGTTCACAAAAATGAAGTATATGTGGTAGTTATGTTCTTAGATTTCTGAATTTTAATTAACATGACTATTCTAGATGGAAAAAATAGCTCTTAAATGTTTCAAGAGGAAACCTAGTGTTTGCAGTGAAATCACTTTTGTTTTTGTTTTTCCTCACCATCCAAGAGATTTTGTGGTAAATGTTGCCCTAAAAAAAGTTCAACATTGCGTCCTGTGGAAAGCACACCTTATTTTTTGTAATTTAATTCATTGTGTTTTTGAGGGAGGTAAGGCACCAAATTACCACTATATTCCAATCTGTTTTTGAATGTTCTCTCTCCTGTTTTGTCTACTACATAACTACTGTCAAATTGTTTGTAACAAGCTAGAGGAGCGAGTATTGACTTATTAGCCCCTCTGCTGCATTCTGAAATGCAGGCAGTACTTGGCAAATTGAAGAATTACATCACCCCATGGTTTGACATGCTCAGTTCAGTTACTGTTCCCATTCAGATGAGTTTTCCCCCTTAATTTTTTGGGAAGTGGAATGTGAGGTAGGTAAGTTATCTTGCAGTGGTAGAATAAAGAGAAACTTCATATACTTGTGACATCGATTTCCATGCGTTGACCTTTGTTTCTATGCTAGTAGCCACTTAGGAAATGCACCAAAACTCAATTAAAAAAAATAGATGACTATTTCATGAAGTATGAAACTGCTTTTTGAAATTTGACATCGGTAACATAACTCTTACCACCTACGGCTATGATTGAACATGATCTTTTTACAATTAAATCATGCAGGCCAGGTAGAGAATATCTTCCTCCAAATTCTATGGAGAGCTAATTTAAACTGTGTTAGAATGTAAAGCCCAAGTGAGTAAGTTTATATAATTTAATCCCCATGTTTACTGACAGTAGTTGTCACTGTTACTTTGAGAGCCAGTATGTCATCTGCCTTGTTTTTAACACAATTTGACAAAGCTATTGTCAAGGTTTATTTGAAAATAAGTACAATATACCCAAGCTTATTTCAAGGCAATGCTGCAACCTAGAGGGCTTCAGGTAAGATTGTCAGTCTTGGTGAGCAAGGGTGTAACCTGCTCAAGCATGTAAACAATTGCCAAACCTTCAAGAGAGCTATATAGAAAAAAATGTGCTTTCTGTGTGCCTCTTGCATTAAAGGGTTTTAGCCAATACCCTTCTCCAAAGCAGGCAATCACATTAATATTGACATGTTCGGCACATAGCATTTACCATTTATTAAGCATGTTCATCTGCAATATCTACCGCTCTCACTTTGTGTGGTGATGTTGGTATGAATTTCTACTAAAGTTAAGAACTTTTGCTAAAATGTCAAATAGAATATGGCAAATATGTATAGCAATAGCTAGACATGGTGGAAACAAGTTTTTTATATGCACAGTAGCCCTCTACAGCTATGCAGCTGAATAGCTCACTCTACAAAGCTCAAAGTGGTTGTTGCTGAGACAAGACTGCTCCTGTAAGACCATACACTATCAGTCTCCCTATATGTTTTCTATGAAACCCAAGCTACTCCATATTGCCTAAATAAGGAAGAATATAAAGATTTAGAACCTGGCTTCTACATGAAGTAGGAATGTGTACTCTGTAGCTATAACTCACAATCCCAAGATGCAGATCTTTTAAATAAGCCACGGCATTCTCTTATGTCCTCTCCAACAGCTCACAAGAAAGGCAGACTCTGCTATGTCACTTGCAGCAATTAGTTTGTCACAGATTACGTTTGATTGGAGTCAGTAACAGTAGACTTCAGAAGCAATTTTTCATTTAATGATTGGGTTTATCTACACTTATCTGATGTACTGGAATCGATGAGAAGTCACCCCTCCCCATTGGAAACGCTGATGTGAGAACTCACTAGGTTTATACCATATTTAGAGCAAAGCATACAGGACTAGGGTTCTCACAAGCTAGCTTGTTTATGCCACCATCAGGTAATTGCAGTTGTCCAGATGTGATTAGAAGATGAAATCGGCAGAGGACTTTACCACCTCTATCAAAGTGAACTGCCGGTGCTTTGGTCCATCAAGGCAAAAATTCTTGAACTAATGTTCTACTGCCACTTTAATTACAAGGTATACAAAATAAGACAACTTATTGGTTTAAACCCCAATTAACAGAGCCGTAAGATTAAACAGTTGCTTTTTATCCTAAACAAAGCCAAATAATTGCTAGTTCTATAGGTACATTTACATTCTGCATGTAGGTTTTGGTATACAGTGCCACTGTCAAAGATCTTAAGCCTTGGCCAGTCCAATCACACCACAAGCTAGACGAGCACCAGCATTTCCAGTTTTCTTGCTCTCTTCATTTCCTCCTCTACCCAGATCATCAACTTTTTCATGAACCTAAAAAGGGATAGATAAGGTGGAGATTATTACATTAATAAATAATTTGAGGGAAAGTAAGTTTCAACCACATGGTGCAAATGGTCCAAGGCAGGATAAATACTATACATCAAATAATTAGTAATCTACAAATATCATAGAAATAACTAAGTTAGGAAATAAGTTGTTTAGGGGTAGTGGCTGTGTATTCCCCACAAGGCTTGCTGCCACTCTATATGGTAGTGCGTACGAGTACCATACAGTCAACCAGATCTGGCTAGCTTCCCCATTAGGTTGACAGAACGCTTCCAAATTTGCACTTGCAGTTGAAAAGAACCAGCACCTCACCAAAAGCCTGTACTGAGTAGTGTATGGCAAAATATTTTAAGCGATAATTTTACAGCAGAAACATCTGCAGCTCTGCCCAAGTACATGCAATATTATAACGAACTGCTTCTCAAGCTAGGCTGAGAATGAAGCTTTGGAGCAAAGTGAGGAGCTCCTTAAAATACCTGGGATATTTCTTCACCTCAGAATTTATAGCAAGACTCTGATCATGTGCAGTAATGCTCAGAAGAATTCCAGGCTTCCAATACGCTTTAGCCCATTTCTGGTGCTGGTGATGCCCAACGCACCTACATTATGTAAGCAAGCATGTCTAAGGAGAATCAGAAGCAGCAACTCTGTGCCAAGACCTCTAGGTCAAAGTACTGAAGCAAACCATCCACAGGTAAAAAAATTATATTGATGTATTTTTCCAGAATTTGTAGGGAAGTTGCTCAAAGAAATACTTACCACCATAGTACGCCCGATAATGCAATGTGGCCCCGAGAGAGAAATAATATGGTCCTGTATTGATACTGTTGCTACACCTGAACCATCTGCAGTCACATTTCCAAGATCACCAACATGCCTGGAATAGTTGATTTGATTTTATAAGCAGAATATGACCTGTAATAATTGCTAAATGCAGTTGACTGAGGTGCTACTGTGACACACCACTGCTGAAACATACAAAGCTGGTGCTTTTCAGCTTCAGTAACAGGTACTTGAAATATATAGACAAGTGTTAAGATGATATTATAGCCAGCTCAAGCTGTCTACCCTAATTGTAAAAACTTCCACCAGTGTAACATGCAGTTATGCCTAAAACCACATTATTGCTACCTGACAATAAGCCATCACTAGTAAAAAAATTATATAAAGTGATTGTTAATACTGGACAGTTTAATTTTTCCTGTTAAAGCCATTGTTTTGCTGAGTTTTTATCATGGTCTAAATACTGGAATTTTCGACCCATGTGCTTCCAATAGCTTCAGATGTAATGGCAACACAAGGAGAGGGATTTAGAAGCGTACAAAATTCCAGGAAATTCTGAAGAGTTCAGGTGGGGTCCTATATGTAATTTAGAATGGCCATTTTAAAAAACGAAACTTAATTGTAATTCAAATGTACACAACTATTGATGCCTCTAACTGTATGGCTGTATTTTGCTTGTTCTAGTAGTGCCTGTATTAACATTTTTATTTTATGCAATGCTGAATAAAATATATGCAGGACAAATCTTTCTGTCTTCGAACTAGTGTGACACAAACCGTAGCACCCTAAATTTAGAAATTTAACACAGGGGACAGGGTTCTTCGCCTTAATGTTTTCTGTGCTTTATTTTAAATTATTTAATTTGAGAACACGTCAGTAACCCTTTTGAATAAGAAACAGTACTCGACACATCTATTCATCACCTTTTTACCAATTCAGGAGGCTAAAAATTAGCTGTTGCCTTCAAGCCCTCCACCCCATCAGACCACTCTAATTGACTGTGTTGCAGCAAAAAATCACCGAATGTTCGCTAAATGATTGACCAACAGAGCAGTTGCATAACAAGGCAAGTTTGACTTATATTCTTAAGGTCTATGGACAGAAGTATCCTTCAGGAATGAACTGAGGAACCAAGTGAGCTGGGTGCCCACAATTATGAAAGCCAAACAGTCATCAGGAAGGACGAGCTATGAAGTAGGATCTGAGGAATGAATAGGTGACAGAAAAAGGACACCACTGGGAGACAGGAAGCCTTGCACAGTGTCTACAAACCGAAAGAGGTGTGGACCAGCAGTGGAACAGTAATACCCAGACACAACTGGCAGACTGTGCCACTGAAGAGATCAACAAATAAGAAAAGTTTAAGAAAAATGAGCATTAGTCCTTAATTTCTCCAGCGCTAGTACATACTCAGCTAGAAGTCCTTTTAGACACTATTGCTTGAATAAATAAGGGACAGTTTTCTTACTACTAATTTCCAGTCCAGTTGTTTCTATAGTTATCCTAGATGTATTACAGTAAATAGAAAAAAGGGATGCCCCAAAAGTGAAATACACAGAATTTTAGGTCCCATCTACAGTTTTACATTTGTCTGCAGCACAGGAACCTATCCTGGTTCTTCACTGTGTTGGGAGATAATGCAATGCACTGTTACTTGATGGGAAGCAAGCCATTATATTAGAAGGTAGAAGGTACTTCAAGATCATACACAAATAGGAAACTGTTTTATACTAAACCTTTCTTCATCTTCTGGTCCACCATGCATTTTCCCCTCAGGATTGAAGTGAGGGCCTGCACTGGTACATCCTATAAGAAGTTACCCGAAGTCAGTATTTTCCCCATTCACATTATGCAAATCCATATATGATAGCTCTCAGGACTTAGCCTTAAACTCTTTTTCTTTATCTTTTATAAACAAGATATTTTATCAGGATGCTTATGAACATAATCTAACACAATTTAAATTAAAAGTGTGAGGGAGAAGATTGTCAAAGTAACCTGTCTCCCTCCCTTTAGAGATTTGAAGAGTTCCTGTGTTTAATGCCTAGGCCAGTATCATGCACATCACAAGCTAAATACAAAACTGCTTCCCCAAGAGTGGAAGTGTATTTATTGCTTAGCAATCTAATATTTACATTCTTAAGACACTATTGGCCATATATGTTTCTGTTGTTAGAAAACATTTTGTAGGCTGTAAGAGCAAAAGCAATAATGTTACCGTTTGTGTTGTCTCCAAATTCATGGACGTGGAACCCATGTTTTCCTGGAGTTAACCCACTAATACTTCCTGAAACAGTTACAGGTCCGTTACCCTGAAACAGATTAGTATGAATAGAAAGATTCAGACAAACCATCCATTTTAAAGTCCTTCCATCTCCAAGGAAAATGACATTGTACAGAGGAGAGAACCGATTCTTCAAGCAATACATGCTTATGATCCTACAGTAGAATGTTGGCATAGTACTCAGCATGAACCTAGAAAATCTTACTGTCTTCATCTGAAGGCAGCCCTGTTTAGGAAAGCTTTTAATGTTTGATGCATTACTGTATTTTAATATTGTGTTGGAAGCCGCCCAGAGTGGCTGGGGAAACCCAGCCAGATGGATGGGGTATAAATAATAAATTATTATTATTATTATTATTATTATTATTATTATTTATCATCATCATCATCATCATCGTGCCTACAGTCCCACAACTGGATTTTGGTGGTGTATCAAAGAGGTGTATTTGTTTGGAAACTTCTTATGCACACCTTGGTCCAGATAAGTGTCTCTCCAGTGACAGACAAGGGTGTGATGCATGCACTTATGCCAAAACCAAGAATGCAAGGTTACACCTGCTATATGGAGAGCCAACATGTTAAATGCTTTTTAGTGACCTCGATGGGATGCCTGACATTTAAAGCTGCTCATAAAGCAACGCTCATAACCAACAGCAATTCAAGTTGCTTAGTAAGTGTACATTTTGTAAACTACTCCCTAGGATGCATTATAAACTTCAAACTGAAGATACAAATCAACATTTTGTTTCTGATTAAACTAGATTTGTTACAATGCTGCTTTGAGTAGCATTTTATCTTATTGGATTCACACAATCTTATTTTAATAAATGCATTCAGAAATGAAGCATTTCCCTGATAAAATGGTTAAACCTGACTTTTCATTACCGCTGATAGTTAATTATATTTATTCCCTGCAATTCACAATTATAAGAAAGAACTTGAGGTCATGCATACGATGGAGTCTCCTGCTCCCCGGCAGTCAATGACCATTCAGGTTCCAGACTCTTCCAGAGGGAGGGGGAGAAAAAGCTGCTAATGTATTTCAGGTGTTGGCTGACGGTGAAACAGTGGATCCACAAAACCCTCTGCTGATCTGTAGAATCTTCTGGCATAGCTGTTTAGTCCAACAGCAGTATTATTTAAGGTAGGCAGAAAGTGATATGCCCCATTTCAACCAGGGCCTCCTATGTTAGTAGTAATATAATGAAATCTAGACAACATGTCAAAGGTGCACATTGGTGTGTTTTTTAATTTTCTGGTTAGCTGTTTAACCAGATAAGCATGCACATTAAATAGCCTTGGGCAAAATATTTCACAAACTTAGATATGAATGATATGCAAGTCTGTGCTTACATTCCACTTAGGCAAGTATTTATCCCACAGCCTATTAATGTTGACTGTAGTTATTCACTCACTTCAGAGACGATTTGTTCACAACAGCAGGATACTGCTACATTAAATTAGAAACTGCATAGGATGCAAACCTGCTGAGGATGACAAGATGTACCGTATTTTTTGCACCATAACACTCACTTTTTTCCTCCTAGAAAGTAAGGGGAAATGTCTGTGCGTGTTATGGAGGGAATGCCTACGGGTGGCATGCCTACGGGTTTTCCTCCTCTAAAAACCATGTGCGTGTTATGGTCGGGTGCGTGTTATAGAGCGAAAAATACGGTAGCTTGAACTGTAACAAATAGTTTCCAGACTTCCACACCGCTACATAAAAAATATTATATGGAATCCAACAAAATCACATTACATGAAAATTAAAGAGTATTTTACAGGGATATAGTTATTTGGAATAAAGGCTGTGTTGTAGTTTGTAAGATGTTGTAATCTATCTTGAGGATCAAATGATCAAAAAGCACAAATGTTCGAAATCATTTTCATCCTGCTTGCAATGGACTGCACTGCACTGGTGTCAGTGAAGTCTCCATAGAAATGTCTATAAGCATGCAAGTATTTCCAAAGATACAGCAAAGTCCCTCAAATAGTCAAGCACCATCAGAACTTTTGGAGCCTAAACCGTGACACTAAAGGTTAAGGTTCAATGAATTCCATACTAGTTCTGAAGTATACTGTCAAATGCAACAATATATAAATAATTATTTTCTATCAAATTCCCATGTGCTCTCTCACTTAATATATTTGAAACTAGAAATAGTCATGGTGTCAATAAGGCAGCAATAGTTGACATGGTACTGTCCTGTTGTTCCCCAGCCTGCCCAATGTTCAGGAATGATGATCAGGGGCCACCACACTGGCTACCCACCTGCCATAATGTATTGCTCTGTATATTACATTTACAGTCCTGCTAATACAGTAATATAGGCCAGCTCCCTCGGCCTATAGAGCGAGATGAGCACGCAACCCCAGAGTCGTCTGCGACTGGACCTAACTGTCAGGGGTACCTTTACCTAATACAGTCTATTAAACCTCTTTGAACCAGACATGCTTTCTTCATAGTTAAAGGTAACTAGAGTAACAGATCTTTCTAAATGCATTCATACTATCATCTATAGCAGCTTTTAAAAAGACATTTATACATTTATTAAAACCTACAACACATAAAATACATATACACAAACTTTCAAAGATCTAGCACAAAGATCCTCATTCATTATTAAATACTTCATAGCTATGCTTCTGTCCTGCTATTCACATTATTTCAACAACGCGTTACATTTCCCCCTAGCTTATGCGTGAACAAAAACCTAAGTAAATTCAGCAGAGGCTGCAAAACCTGTTTGCCCAGGAGATTAGAGTTCACAATTCTCACTCTTCTTTTTTCTCCCTCAAGAGCAAGTTGGTTTAAGTTACGCTTTCCAGCAGCCATGACTCAGCATATTGTCCCTTTTCTTTTGGGCAGGGAGGACAGAACCTGATTTGCAGCACATTCCCCTTTCTTTGGCTATGTATTTAATAAAGAGAAGGGAAAGAAACAGGTGCCCCAGAGCAGCTGTGGGCAACGTTTGCCCAACGGTGGCGCCAAGAGGAAGGGAAAGTGGCAGCCTGAAAGAGCCGAGATACTCATTCTACTGGTCCTGACGGAGGAAGCGAGTTATTGCACCTCAAAATACCTGCGGGTTTAGATTTTATGCAGAACTGGAACGAACCGTTTCCCCTTCCATAGAAGCCTCCCCCACGACTTCCATCCCCTAAAAAGCCCACGAGTTAGCTATTACGCTTTTTGTTTTGTAAATGGGCTAAAGTTCATTGGAACTCGCCCAGCTACCTCTTATCTAATCTGACCTCTGCCAGCCGCCTCTCTCGGAGCCAGGTCACGCTAGGCAGAGGCCGCACGAGAGGCCTGGCCTGATGCCACAGAGCCACGGCGCCTGCTCTAGCTCCCACCGCTCGGCCCAAGACTGCAGCCCCAGAGGCGGCGCGGTTACCCGACGGCGAACCCGGCTGACAGGAGCGGCCCTGACTCCGGAGGGGAGGGCGGCCAGCGACCTTCAGCGCGCAGCTAATACCTGAGTGGGCGCAGCAGCCTCCTCCCGCCTCCCAACCCAGCCGCCTCGCGAGGGAAAGCCCGGCGGCGGCGCGCAGCCTGGAACGGGACCAGGCGGGCGAGCAGCCTCACAGCGCCGGACACCCCGAAGGACGGGGAGCCGCTCCCTCAAGCCCGGCACTCGCCTTCTGCTCGAAGAAAATGACGCCTTTGACGGGGGAGTCGCCAGCCATGACGCAAACAGCCTTCTGCACCGCCATGTTCCTGCTCGCCTCAGAACCACCTCCGCCGCCGCAGCGCGCACAAACCTGATACCAAGCAGTCGGAGCGCTTGCGCGACCTCAGCCGCAGCCCCCTCTCGCGTCGCTTTCTTATACCCTCCGGTTAGAGTTCCTCCCTCCCAATCGCGGCGCTCGGATCGGCTTCTACGCCCGCCTTCGTGAGACGAGGCGGCCAATCGCCCGGCCGACGCCCTCCCGCCTTCTCCAACCAGACGGGGAGAGAAAAACCTCGGCCCCTTTATCCGAGCCAATGGCAGCTCGAGCGCCTTTTCTTAGTCAGAGCCTCGGCTGTGCAAGGGAGTCTTGGCGGGCCTCCCTCCCGGAGAGGTCTCCTATCGCGCGCCCTGTGTGCGGCGGGCGGGGTGAGAGACTCCTTGTTCTACCCGCTTGACAGTATTTCCCTTGGAGACAAGTAGAAGCGATGCTCACGCGTGACAGCCGAAGCTAATGTGCCGGACGAGGGAGGATCACGAGGTCGGGCTGCTCCCTTTTTCGCCTCAGGCATTCAGGTGACTGGTGCTGACAGAGACCAAGGAGCAAGTCAAGGCCTGTTTCGGAGCTTGACCTATTTGGGTAACGTCGGCTTAGCAAATGACTCTGTTTCCGAAAGCGCGGAAAGGCTGATGGTCCTTAGCGTATCACTTTGACAACCTGAAGTTCACTGGCTTGTCCCTTTCCACTGGAAAGGGTGGCTGTGCGGTTCATGAGCATCTCCATCCCAATACAGACACACACACACGTCTATATGTATATATATGTAGGTGCTATATTATTTCAGTGCCACCTCTACTACTTATTTCACTAGTGATGTTTGCTGAACCAAATCAGATTTTACCATTCTAATCTCATCTGACAGCTTCAAATACAGCCATACCTCGGGTTAAAGTAGTTTCGGGTTAAATCTTTTCAGGTTGCGACCCAGAAGTAACGGAACGGGTTACTTCCAGGTTTCGTCGCACATGCAAAATGACGTCACACGCATGTCTAGAAGCGGCAAATTGCGACTCGTGCGTGCGCAGACGCAGGTTGCGTTCTGCTCAGGATGTGAACGGGGCTCCGGAACGGATCCCGTTCGCACCCAGAGGTACCACTGTATTACAAAAAAGAAAAATCATTTTGCATGCGCCATAGCTCAGCACTAAAGAAGGTCCCAGGTTCAACCCTCCACATGTCCACAGCAGGCTGGAAATATTCCATCTAAAAGCCTGGTCAGCATAGACAGTACTACTATACATAAAGTTAATGGTCTGATTCGGTAAAAGGCTGTTTCCTATTTTCTGGGGATAAATATCCAGAATGTACAGGCTGATCTGTGATGGCTACATATGCATGTATTCATTAGTTGTATATGAGCTGGGAAGGCTTAATTGGTTGTGCTTTGTAGCATGTGCTAGAATAGGGGAAGGGATGTAGCTCAGTGGTCAAGCATTTGCTTTGCAAACAGAAGGCCCAGGTCCAAACACCAGGTGGGACTAGGAATGCCCCCTACGTGGAACATGGAGAGCTGCTGCCAGTTAGTGTAGAGATAATACTACATGGACCGCCAGTCTGACTTGATATAAGGAAGCTTCCTTTGTTCCTAATGTATGTGTGGTTTGCACATGAATTTGTATATGAATTTCAAAACTTACAAAGCAACCGTGCAGGATAATGATTTGACCAAGTGGCTCAGAGAAGACTGAAGTCAGGGTCTCCTGCAATACACATAATGCCATTTGCTTATACAAAGGATATTTCATGATGAGGAGATAGTCATTATGTGCAACCAGTGGTTTTTTTTCTAGAAAAATAGGTGCCGGTACTCACCATGAAGTTGTTACAGTAAGGGCCACACTTTTTAACTGAAAAAAGAGAGGTGCCAGTACTGCATACCCTTGAGTGCCCCCTGAAAAACACACACCATGTGCAACACATAGCTACCCACTTACCCATCAACTTTATGGTTTCTCAAGATGCTGGCTTCCATGAGAGACACAGTTGCAGCTATTATTGTAGGTTGTGAACATTGGAGCAAACATGTGCTGTGCCCATACCTTAGGCACTAGTTTTATGTCAACATAATGTATTCAGCTGACTGTACTAGCATTCACTGAGAGAAACATTTCTTAACAGTACTGTCATCTCATTGTTCCTGGGTGAGGGCCAATTTATGCAACCAGTTTTGCATGCTAAGGAAAGAGAATAAGCCATGAAGAATTCAGCAAATGGCAATGCAGTTGTGTGACTGCTCTACATACTGCACCACAAACCCAGCTCACAACTCAGCCAAACATTTGTTTATTTATTTAGACCATTTCTATGCCAGTTGATATACAGAAGTATCACTAAGTGGTTTACAGAAAACTAAAGCAACAAAAATGCTATAACAATACAGTTGAATATACAGTAAGCCCTCAGCATATGTGGAGGTTATGCTCTGGAGATCATGCCTAAGGCCAAAATCACATGTAGTCAGAACACACTGGGTGCAATGGCAGGTGGGACTGCCAAAGGGTTTTCTTTTTTCCCAGATGCCCACCCACTTTTCTTTTTTTTTTGCCAAGTGCATAAACCTGAATGCACATAAGTTAAATGTGCATCAGTTGCAGGCTTATTGTAGACAAATGTTAATATAAATGACTAAAAAATAGAGAAACACCTCTTACCCTCCTGACTCTCGCCCAGGGCACCACCCATCCACCCTAGCTCTCACATTAAAGAAAATGCTTTTTCACGTAGCACTTAATGGTGGCTTATGGAACTTGCTCCGACAGAACTCAGTGCTAGCCATGGACATGGTTGGCATTAAAAGAGAATTGGGCAAATTAATGGAGGATAAGAGTACTGATGGTCAGAGGCAGCAGTGTTTCTAAATACCAGTTGCTGGAAGCCGCAGGAGCTTGCGTCCTGCTTGGAGGCTTCCCACGGGCATCTGGCTGGTCACCATGAGAACAGGATGCTGTACTAGATAGGCCATTCTTATGTTCTTATGCCTCTTACCCAAGGCCCAAACAAATTTTAAATGTCTCACAAATAGAAGGGTTGCTGCTGACATCACACTACTCTCTTTAGGCTTGCTTTTTATGGGCAGGCACCAAGGTGGATGGAGCGTCCTCTGGCTGCCCACAGCAGTGTCCCATTTAGCAGCCAGCTTCACTCTCCACACCCAGTTTCAGATGCAGCAGGTTTGGTGAGTTTCTCAAGAGTCCTAAGGATGGCAAGTAGGACACCCCTCTACACATAGGTCTCTGCACACCTCTCCACCAGTTGTTGTTGTTTTTTAAAACCAACATATCCCTCAGCTGATTTCCCATGTGCAACTAAAAAAATAAAAATCACAAAGCTATTTTGAAACTTCATAGTGACAAAACTGTTCTGCTAGATGCTGAATTCATGTAACCCTAACTTGGTTAGGAATTATTCCTGACTCAGTATTTCTGAATTTGTTATATGTTATCTCACTCTTAGGGACGTGGGTGGTGGTGTGGGTAAAAGCCTCAGCGCCTAGGGCTTGCCGATCGAAAAGTCGGCGGTTCGAATCCCCGCGGCGGAGTGCGCTCCTGTCGTTCGGTCCCAGCGCCTGCCAACCTAGCAGTTCGAAAGCACCCCCAGGTGCAAGTAGATAAATAGGGATCGCTTACTGGCGGGAAGGTAAACGGCGTTTCCGTGTGCTGCGCTGGCTCGCCAGATGCAGCTTTGTCATGCTGGCCACGTGACCCGGAAGTGTCTTCGGACAGCGCTGGCCCCCGGCCTCTTAAGTGAGATGGGCGCACAACCCTAGAGTCTGTCAAGACTGGCCCATACGGGCAGGGGTACCTTTACCTTTTTATCTCACTCTTAAAGAAGCTCAGAGTAGTGTGGTGGATTTCTTCAATAGCCACACCATTGTGATGTTTAAGGCAACTTTACTTAGTCATAACAGCAGCTGTTGGGAGCCCACAAAAGTGGAGTTCACAGGCCTTCACGGAGGTGTACTGAGGGTCAAGGAGAGAACTGCGCCTCCAGCTCCACTGGCCTTGAGGAGGAGGGGGCAGCTGCTGCAGGGCCTGTGCAGGGGGGTGAGCAGGCATGGCAGTGCCACTGCAGGTGGCAGCACTACAGCAGGTGAGGCAGAGGAGTGACAGATTTTACTAAAATAGAAGGGGGCAGAGGAGGAGAAGAAAGAGGAGGATAAATAAAAAGAAGGAAAGAAAGAGTGAGGTGGGGGGGGGGAGAAGAGGATAGAGGAATGAATGAGAAAGGGAAATCCAGCAACAAAAAGATGTGTGCAAAAACAAAAAGCAAAGAAACAGAAGAAGGGTATCTGAGAAAGGGAGCAGGGGCAGAAGCTTTCATGAACCAGAGGAACCACTTTATGCTCTTTTATTTTTATTTAGAAGTGAATCTTTCTGTTGAATGTGCCAGTGGTGCAGCTAAGTGATTTTAGAACCTGGACGTAATGGTCTTAACGCCCTCACCACCACCATGGCTGTGTGTATTGTTTCAAGTGAAGTGAAGCACAGAATTAACCTCTCCTTTTCTCCCCTCCCCTCCCCTCCCCCACTCCTGCCTCATGATTCCATGCTTTATAACTTATTCTACATTCCTGATATGTCACAGCAAACAAACATTTGCCAAACCAGAAAAAAAATGGGGAAAGGCTCCTTGTCAAGGGAGTAATGGGCACAAAGGAGCCTAGGTATGCCTCTGAAATTATACAGATCTTATATAGCGGCATTCTCTTGCCTTAGCTTTGAACATGCGTAGAAATTAAGTACCATTCTCATTATCAGAGCTGTATGCTTAAATCAGCTACATATATGGGGTGCCTACTCTCTATGAAACTAGCTGAAGTCTGAGTTTTTCCTGCAGAAACATTCTTGACACATTTGTAATGCACTCTGAGTAAGCAGATTATCCTATCAATATCCGTTCACACACTTTTTTATATCTCTTCCCATATAGGCTATCGATCAAAGCATATAATATGCTAACGCTTGACACCACATACTGTATACAAGAGCCTTAATCAATTAGGAAAAGCTGTCATTCCCTAACCCTGTATGGAAAATAAGTGGTACAGCTAGGTAATTTTAATTTCTGGACTTGATGGTCTTACTTGTGGCGGGTTGGGGACACACTGTAGACTAGGGTCTTTTTGAATGGCTGATGAAAGTGAACAACTAGATCTGTTGTAAAATAAAACAAGCAGAAAGAAAAGTCTTATCCTGAGCCAATAACCTTTGGTCCCCTATACATTTATGACCTAATATCCTCCAGGCAAAGAAAGCCATAAAACAGGTAAAAATATACAGTACATTGTCCTAGATACAGATTGTTTCTCAACAGAATGCTTTCTTTTGGAGGTGGGGGTTGAGAAGTGGAAACCAATGTATGGAATGCAATGTATGGAAACCACGTATGGAAGGTACCAATCACTGATAGCAGGAAATCATTCCACAAGTATGCATCCAGAAAGCGTTCACAGTGCATCCTCCAATTCATCTTATACCACAGCTCACTGCTTTAGGCAGGAAGTAACAAGCTCCAGGACTCCTTCCTTGGACTTGGATCCCCTGACTGGCAGAAAAGCCCATTTTTTCTTGGTTGAACAAGGTCTGAAGGAATGTTGTTCCAGTCATAAGTAATCCAGTTCCACAACCCCGCAGGAAGGAGGCATGCAGGCTTACAGGAAGTAAGACTGAGATACCTCATACAGTGGTACCTCGGGTTAAGAACTTAATTCGTTCTGGAGGTGTGTTCTTAACCTGAAACTGTTCTTAACCTGAAGCACCACTTTAGTTAATGGGGCCTCCCGCTGCCGCCGCGCTGCTGGAGCATGATTTCTGTTCTCACCCTGAAGCAAGTTCTTAACCCGAGGTACTATTTCTGGGTTAGCAGAGTCTGTAGCGTATGTAACGTAACCCGAGGTACCACTGTAGTTCTGTGAAGGACACAAAGAAAAATGGCAGGCAGGGAATGAATCCCACCAGCAACATATAGGAAGTCAAGCGCTGCATGGGGCAAAAATAACCATTTCAGAAAGAGTTGTTGAGATGAAGAATAAAACCCAGTCCTCTTGTTCAACAGAGCAATACACTTGACTGCATGGTCATGGAGATAGACAGAAAAGCACATGATGGGGCCTTTACAGTCTCCCAGTGGTCTTATCCAGGATATGCCTGATTTCCTCCCCCAGTGCCGTGCATGGGATCATCATAACATAAGCGTATGAACAGCCTGCTGGATCAGGCGAATCACCCATCACTCCAGCATCCTGCTGTCACCATGGCCAACCAGGTGCCTAAGGGAAGCCTGTAAGAAGGACCTGATTGCAGCAGCACTCTCTCAACTTCTGAATTGTAAAACAAGCAAATGTTCTTATTGAATAGCCTCAATGATGTTGTTTTGAAAACTAAAAATAGAAAAGCAGGGTTGCCAAACTCTATGTTGCACCAGGGCTCTTGTGCCTGTGAAAACTATGTGGTAGCAGAGGAACACTGCCTGCATTCTGCATCCTGGCATTCTCATGCTAGGATACTTATGTGTTTGTTAAACTGTTCACAAAGTTACAGGGCCCTACAGCATTAAGGTGGCATTACCACAAAGGAAGTGCTGGAGTCACACTGGTCATTACTGTTGTTAGTCTAGTTGTCAGTCTACTGTCATCTGAATTGCACTGGGAGTGGAAAACATCCTTGCTCTTGTCCTTGTTGGAAGGCTGCCTGGGAAAAGATGAGACACTGGGACAGTAAGGAGGAAAAGTTAGTCAACAACTTCAACAGGCTTAGGCTCTGTAGGCGACAGTGAGCAAGTAACTGAGATAATGCTGCCACCCAAGTGCTCTTCCCTTGCCTCCCTACTTCTTGGGTGATATTCCTCAATGCCAGTATTCAGAGCTCTGTCTGTTAGTAATATAGAGAGACAAAACTTTCCAGTAATGTATACTGACCTGCGTTGAAACTCTTGTCTGTTTTTTCTGTTTGTGCTGCTCTGTGTGGTCATGCTCTTACCCAGCGCCAAGGCAGAAAGGGCCATGGCTGTTTGGTCAGCACTAGCAATTGAAAGAATGACTGGTGTTTGCTCCTGTAACAATCCTGTCCAAGTAACAGCACTGAAAGATAAAATCACACTGTAGTTCTGCAGTCCTGTGCAGAATCAATCAATCTCATTGAAATCAATGAGACTTCCCAGTAATTGCACAGGATTACAATGCAGGTGAGACTTTTATTCAGTTGGAAATAATTCATGAGGGAGCATTCCCTACTTGACAGCTATAAAATGTGACTCTCACAAATGGTTGATAACGTCTGAAACTGGTTTCTTTGTGATTAAGTATACACAAAATGTGATGGTAGAATGAAAAAATTATAATGGCAATTCTTCTCTCTCACAGTGTGTGTGTATGTGTTCTGCTTTCAGCTCAGTAGCTAATGGCAAGAAAACTTCTGAGGTAACTACTATGGAGGCAGAAATAGGGAAAGTATTTTACAAAAGGAGACTGAATGAAGGGCCAGCTCCAGGTATGGACAGAATTAGGGGTGTTCAACTCAACTTCCTTTCCAGAGAAGGAAGTTGGTCTTCATCAGGCTGATAGTGAGGCTGAACTCCCTTAAGGCTTGGCAAAAAGGTTGATGAGTCTCTCTGTGGAGCTTCCTCAGAGTGTGCTGTCAAGGCTGCATCATCTGCAAACAGCATCTCTCAGATATGAACCCACAACTCTCTTGTCTTGGCATGGAGATATGCCAGGTGAACAGATCCCTGTTGCTACTTGAATACAAGTATATGTCTTCTTGCAGGTTGTATGCTTGTAGTTTACAAGAGCCTCACACTTTGCAGCGATAACAGGCTCCGTGTCCTTTATTATTAAATATTTTATTAAGGGTTTTCTTGTTTTACAGTGTAAGCGTAATGCCTTGTATTTTTTTCCCCTTGTAACATTTTTACAAATCCGTTTCATTTGTTGAGGCATTGCGGGGAGAAGAAAAAAAAAAGAAAAAAAGAAAGGGGTGGAGGGAGGGGATATGGATGGGGGTGGGGTCGGGTAGTGGTGTTTCTATTATGCTTAATGTATGTAGAGTTTGGTGTCAGCGTGCTTGTGTTGTTCACTTGTGTTCCTTTGGTGGTGAGAGAGGTTGGGGTTGGCCTAGGGTGTGATTGTTTGTTTGTGATTGGCTGTGGTGATCTTTGTTTTTGTGTGTGAGTGAGGTGGGTGGGTGTTTTGGATCAGTTTAGCCATATTGATTTGTATGCTGTTGGTGGATTATTGTCATTGTCCTGTTGGGCTGTGTATGTGATAAAGGGGAGCCATACCGGGGTGAAGGTGTCTTCTTCTGTTTGTCCCCGTGTCAGTTTCAGTTTATTAGTTAATTTTTCTAGTAGGGCTGTTTCCCATACTATTTGGTACTATTGGTCCATGCTTACTCCTGACAGGTCTCTCCAGTGTCTGGTTATGGTGTTTCTGGCTGCTGAAAGTAGGTGGGTTATGAGTTCTTTGTGAGTTCTTTACGCCAGCCTCAAACCAGTTGGGGCTCTGCGGTTCTCTTTTGCCAAAAGAAGGCATAGCTATGTTGTAGGTTGCCTCTTTGATGTGGTTTCTTCAACCTGTCTCTACTGCTCAACAAGCAGTAGTGCTTATTCAACAGAATCAGAAAAGCATCCACAAAGTTCAGCTATGGCTCTTGTGGCAGTGTTTATTTGAGACCACACTTTCTGTTTTGTGCTATAGGTCCTCTTTGGCTGGAGGAGGATCTTGTTATCTGCCAAGGACTGATCTTTGTCACAGTGGGCACTGTGATAGCGCCGTGTAACACAAACACAGTTCAGTACCGATCACCTGGTGACAATCAAGCCCAGCTGGTCCCAGTGACCTGAACTTGGCTGTCTCCAGGATACTCACCATTTTGCCTTGGTAGAGAAGAACATGCCACCCAACCACCTTAGGATCTCTCTGCTGGATTTGTGTTGGGTTTATTCCTTGGCCTTTTCTTCTCCCAAAAATGTCCTACAAAGCAGCGGATGGAGTTCATTCCTCAGAGTTTATTCCCGAAACCTTTCTCATGAATGAATATAGCAACAAGGCAGCAGAGGTTTAAGAAACCACCTTCTTGACTGTTGGACCCTCTCTTGGTCCTGTCTGCTCAGTCTGCTGGAGCCTGCCTTCACTGAGGGTTTAAGCCCCTTTGGCTATCCTTACCTGGTTTAGCTAGCTACTCAAAGACGTTTCCTGGGGTGTGGCCACTGTTGCGTGCTGACAGCTTCTAGGAGCCACAGAAGAGAGCTGAATGCAGTAGTGAAGGAACGTGAGGGGCGTGCAGGGTGCACTGGGCATCGGGGGGGGGGTTGTAGGCTGGCAGGGGGGGCTGTAAGGCATCACGGGGGCTGCTGGGTGTCACTAGAGGCTGCAGAGCAGCAGGGGAGCTGCAGGGTGGCACGGGGATTTGCTGGGCACTGCAGAGCGGGTGGCGTCCCTCAAAATGCCAGCTTAGGAACTCTTGGTGATGTTTCCCAAAAAAGCTCAAAAACTTTTGCAGATCCCCTAAAGAAAGCTCAACAACTCTCTGCCAAAGGGCCCCCCCCCAGCGCCAGCAGGGGTTGCTACACCACTGGCAGGGTGGGAACTGAAAGTGGATGAACTACCCCAAAAGGAGCAAAATGTGTCCCCCCCCACCATAGGTACTGCCGCTCCCCTAACACCCCATGCACAATTGTATATTATACAATGCTTTTTACCAGTAAAAGGTGCAGGCACTCCCACTTTTTTTTGATGGACAACAAATAAATTGTTGAGCTTATTTTAGGGGGGAAATGCTTTTTTGCGGGGGAACGCTTCTTCGCCTGATTGTCCCACTGCCAGCATCACTGCAACTGCATTACAATGTAGCCTCAGAAACAAAGCCACGAGCGGCATGCAGTCTCAAGCCTCCAACACGCAGCTCTGGGTGCCTTGCCACTGTACAGCTGCTGTATGCTACAAAGAGGTGTCGGAACACATCAAAGAGGTGACGGAACTCAGTTTGGGTGAGTCTCGGCTGGAAAAAAGTCCTGCTATTATAGTAGAATAACTGAGTGAAAGAGACCTGGAACAGAAAATTCAGCCAAAGGCTATTGAGAAGCTGGTAGTTGCATGAATACAAACTGTGTTTCCTGTATGAAGCAACGTGCCTACTAGTCATAAGCATCACAAATAAATTCCCGCTGAAAATCATGAAATGACCATGACAGAGGCATAATCCAGCCCTTGTCTGTATCTCAACATGCATTGATGGCAAAAGTCACAGATTGAAAACTGCAAAAATTATGAAAGAAAGCATGAAAGATCTAGCAGAGTATATTTTGTGACTTAGTTCCTGCCTAAAGCTCTTAGGTTTCACCAACATGGCACCCGTGGGCACCAGTGTCCCCACCAGTACCTCCTATGGCACCTACAAACGGTTTCTGTAAATATTCCCACCCCCCAAATCCACAGTGCATGAGATACTGTTTGCTTTTGCTACCTAGGGCTGCAATCCTATATAAGTCCACAACTTAGTCCATTTAACTTGTGCTCATTCAACTTTACACACATTGCAAAAAATAAAAGGTGTGGGTGTTCCAGGAAAAATGAATTTGACAGTCCCACCCACCATTGAACCCAATGGGTTTTGACCATATGCAATTTTGGCTTTAGGGGCGATCCCCAGAATGTAACCCCGATGTAATTTGTGGACTTACTGTACTCATTTACTAGTAAGCAAGTGAGCATAGGATTGCAGTCTTTCAGTGCCTGTTTACTCAGAAGTAAGTCTCATTGTGTTTAATGAGGCTTACTATCTAGCAAAGTGTAGTTAGGATCAGTCCTTTTTTTCTAGAAAAATAGGTGCCGGTACTCACCATGAAGTTGTTACAGTAGTGCTACACTTTTTAACAACAACCAAAAAAAAGAGGTGCCGGCACTGCGTACCCCTGAGTACCCCTTGGGGGAAAAGCAGTGGTTAGGATTACAAACTTCATCTGGCTAACATGCCCTGCACGAGCCCAGACTGTTAGGATCAAACTGCATGATTTTTTTCCTCCTTGTTGTTTTCCTCTACATCCAGTGTGAAGATGATTTCTGGAGAATTCAAAAGCTTGCGGGGTACTTTGTGAAATTTAGGTGGTCCCAATAGAGATTATCCCCCTATTGTGGCTTTTTGAGCGCCCTGCCCCCCATTAGACCAACACCCCTACCTTACAATTTTTGTATGTTACTCAGTTATCTTTTCAAGTCAGCTGACACCTCTCTACTTTGCCGTAAGTACAAAGTCCATCACAGGCGAAACATAGACAAGAACAAAGTAGAGATTTTCATGGAGAAATACTTGACAGCTACCAAGCCATGGGCACTGCTTTCTGGATTCAGTCCACACTACTTATTTTGATAATTTGCTTGGACAGGAGGAATATCTGATTTCCTTGAAATCTACAATAGCCTCCACTCCCCCCAGAAACCTTAGAGGAAAGCATGCTTTCTCTTCCTAACTATTGCAGAAATTTTCAGAATTGTTGCTCCCCACAGTTTCAAACATAACAAATATAGAGAGAAAGACTGTGAAATTAGTTTCCTTGTGCAACAATGCAGGGCTATAGACTGCAAAGTGAGAGGGAAGACAAGCCAGCCAGCCAAGACAAGTCCTCCTCCTCCTTTACTACACTGCTGCCATCAAGTGGCTATCTATATTTTTCTCTGGCTGCTTCCATTAAAAGAGTGTTTTAGCCTTCTAGACCAGTGTTTCTCAATCTATGGGCCAGGAAACAACAGTGGGAGTCAGCCGTAGTCCCTCTGCTTGCATGCCCATCTTCTTACAGCGTCAGCAACAGCTGCCCCCATGCACAGTGCATAGGCATGTGTGCAAGCACTAGGAGTTGGAAAAGAGAATGAGACTGCAGCACTGGAAGTTGGAAAAGAAAGACAAGGAAAGGAAAGATGGATGGACAGTGTGGCTGACCAAATGTGAGGGAAGGAAAAAAACAGAAAAGAGGGAGACGTAAGTGATGATCAAACTAACATGCCTTGCAGCAACACTTTCATGACTGTTTGCCAAATGTGGACAGGTCTTCCAATTAAGACCCTGCAGTCTGTGATACCTGTTGCTGCTACTTTACCTTTAAAAGTAAAGATAAAGGGACCCCTGACAGTTAGGTCCAGTCACAGATGACTCTGGGGTTGCGGTGCTCATCTCGGCGCTCATCTCGCTTTACTGGCCGAGGGAGCTGGCATACAGCTTCTGCGTCATGTGGCAGCATGACTAAGCTGCTTCTGGTGAACCAGAGCAGTGCACAGAAATGCCGTTTACCTTCCCGCTGGAGTGGTACCTATTTATCTACTTGCCCTTTGACGTGCTTTCGAACTGCTAGGTTGGCAGGAGCAGGGACCGAACAACGGGAGCTCACCCTGTTGGGGGATTCAAAACGCCGACCTTCTGATCGGCAAGCCCTAGGCTCTGTGGTTTAACCCACAGCACCACCCGCATCCATACTTTACCTTTAGCCCTTGGCTATTTCCTCTTCAACAATGAAGTCCAGTTACTTTGCCTAGGCTCCAAGGATTTTTAGTATTATGTTTCTGTTCCACTCCCTCTTGTCTGCCTCAATATGCGGTTTGTTTGTTTTGTTTGTTTGTTTAAAAAAATCTTTAATAACATTTTATTTGTATTCTTTTGAATATACAAAGATATTTTTGATGGTTATGATCCCATTTATACAGGTAGAGTGAAAAGCCACCGATCAGACTGCTAAGGATAGGGTAGAATGTCTTCTGCCATTGGTCTGACCAATTTGACCAAAACCAACCTTCATACCTCCCTTCAGAATACTGGATATCAATACATTTGAAATTAAATACCTTACTTGGATATAAGACCTGTTGAATTCAGTGGAACTGCCCTTTGAATAAATATCAGTAAGACTGGCATGATGAACCTAACTCTTTACTTTCAACTGCAAATCAATTAATTTCAGTAAGCATGCATCTTAGAAAGACTAACAACAATTATTATAGCATGAGTATTCATAGACTTCCCACTTCATCAGTCCACAAAAGCTTGTTCCACAATCATTGTTAGTCTTTTGCTGTAAAGTGGTAATCCCACTGAAATTCATCTACTTTACATTAGTACTGAAAAATGTGCAATAGCCATTACCAAGAAAGAAAATGAAACCTAGGAAATCCCAGCAGGTGGCACTCTTTGCCTCTCTTAGTGCCAAATGCTGTTTTTCAATCTTTGCAGTAGCTGCCTGTAAGTCATTGCCCTACAAATATGCCACCCATCCCACTGGATTGTATATGCAAGGCAAAAAAGTCTAATAAATTCCAAACAAACAAGAGCAATCTCAGTGTTTGAGATTGGAGAATAAATGTAAATATATTTATCAGTACATTTCAGATCACCTCCAACATGGTTCATGGAAGAGCGGGCCCATTCAAACATTACAGTCACCAGGTGAAAGCTCCTGAAGGTGCCTGGGTGGTGTGCTTGAAAGGCAGAAAATCAGCACAAACTCTGGGATGGAAATACGTCCTCCTATTTGCCAGAATTTGGAGAGAGAGTAGAAAGTAATACAGGAAGTATCCAGGGATGTGATCAATGCCAGCCTAAGTATCCCAGCCCACAGATGCACGCATACACAGGGGCAAGGATCCAAAGATTGACATGCATGGGTGTGCCTTCCATGAATGAGATAACTCCTTTCTCTTCATGGAAGGGACTGAGAGCCAGTAGACTCCTCACTCTCCATGAGGATATTTTTGCAGGCTCCTGCTGTAGCTCCAGGGGCTTACCAGCATTTCAGAGATAAGGAGGAAATGACAAAAATCGCCTACGCCTTCCTCAAGTGCAGGTCAGGATCAAACATAGTGCATTCTACACACACATAGGGGTTGCTCAGATTCTACTTCTCATTGTGGCCCCTGATTTTCTTCTTAAAGGTGACAGGGGACCCTCTAGAGTGGCATTCAAGTTGGCACAAAGGGCTGTGGCTGCCTACCCCTTCATGTGCAGATGTGACTTGGCACATGTGAAGTGGCCTGATTAGATCCTGGTCATAGTTGTCCCTCCATCACCACCCTGGTTCTGAATTCTACCGGCTTGGCAGCACTAAGAACTAAAACTTTTTTTAAAAACGAGAGAAATAAAAGTAGTGTAAAATTGTTGGAGTTCAGTGTTAAAAGCAAATGTGGCAAACACCAGTGGAAAAAGGTGTGTGTGCGTATCTTCTGTGCATTCAATGTATTTACTGGATTGTGGCTCATGTTGCTAAAGCAATCTTTTAATAAACTACGCTGCAATCTGAAGCTCCAACACTTCTGTATGAGCAGGGCCTTCCCCCTTGATGTTACAAGTCAGAAAAACCACAGAACCGATTGCTTAACAGTGAAACCACAGAGAAAGTGAAACAGCAGCCAAAACCAAGCTCCAACTTCAATCAAACACCAGTTATATGTGAAGTAACAGTGACTTGGGTTTCCAAAGAAACTTGGTATCTTCCAGGGTTATTAAACGGAGTCAACAAGTTCCTGAATCAGTAATACATATATATTAAATTAGTCAAATGAAATGATTGCATATTTCACTCTTAGCTCTTCATTTCTTCACTGATAGAAATGACTAGTTATACTTGCAAATAATATTGCATCATTCTGCTTGATGAGCACATATAAGCCATCACAATTATAACTGCAGCCCAGTGAAGCATGAGGCTGTCTGTGTGTTTGCACTTTCATGATTTTCTTGTTCATCGCAGCTGCCTCCTCCTACCTGCCCTCTGCCAGCTAAAACCCAAATCATTCTTTGAGCTCAAGGGTGGGGAGTGTGGTGGACTGTGGTAGCTTAGCAGAAGGAGCAACTGAGTTGAAGGGATAACTGCCATGTACATTCACAAACTTTGCTCTAGTTTTTTTGTGTTTTTTTTTCTTTTTTTGCTTACACTATATATTGAGAGGTAGGGCAGAAGGATGAAATAAATGAAGATTGATTAGTCTCACATACTTTATGTCTTTGTTTTGGGGAAAAGACCCTCTTTTTTTAAAAAAATCTTAACTTGTCACAAATCAAGGGTAACTTGTGAATAATGAAGAGACTGAAATGCACAAATGTATACAAATATATCATAGCACTCAGAAAGTATTATATAAGAGAATGTAAGTCGACAAACTGAATAATTTAAGTTATCTCATTATTTAGTCGGTGCTTTTCCTTAGGCGACAGCACAAAGCGAGGTCAGGAAGAGTCAGCAGGCTGCCTGCCTGGGTGTGTGGAGTGGCTCTAGTCTAGAATCTAAAAGCACATCACAGCCTCCCATACAGTCTTGTTGGCTTGCCACGTGGGGCAGCAGAATAAGAGAAGATCTGAAGGCTCCTGGTTGATCCTCTAGCACTGAGAATGTCTGACAGATTTATGAACTTTTATCCTTTCTTTGCTGGGCCTAGCATCAATGGGTGAGTAAATCTTGGTGCTATATATATATATGGCAGTTTTATTACTCTAACTAGTTGATTTGTTCTGGAATGCATCCTTCATGTATCAGCATCTAGATATTGCTGGACTACAACTCCCATCATCAATGGCCATGCTGGCTGGGGCTGATGGGAGACTGAGTCCAACTATATCTGGGGCAGGAGTGGGGGACGCATACAGGTTCCCCATCTTTGCTGTAAATATAGATTTAAAGGATACATGGGGTAAAAGTACAGACCTTTACAATATAAAGATGTTTCACTTCCACAGTAAGAATACAATAACCAACATTTCACACACTTGTTCCAACTCTTCAGAGAAATACAGAAAGTGCTATGTGTCAATTACAGCTTTCCATTATCTGGATATTACTAGTTAGTAGCTATTCTGTATTGGTCATTGAGTGTATGAACACAAGCAAACAACTACAACAGCAAAATAAATATTATAAAGGACATCTGCCCACCATTCCAGGATTAAGGCTGTACTCCTAGAGGAAAGCCCTATTCAACAAAGTAGGACTCTTGAGTAAACATGCCTAGAATTGAGTTGCATGTCATTAAAATCTTTTTTAACAGACCAATCCATGCTGCTGTAATACGATTTATTACAGTTTTCTACATTCCTTTTGGTTTATTATCAAAACATCCTCTGGTCTAAACCACTGACTGTAATATAAAAGAGTCACACACCTAACTTGTGTTACCTCCATTATAAAAGAGGGCTTTCCTTTCTTGCTTTGATAGGTTTAAACAGTGATAAGTCCATTTAGTACCACAGTCACAAGATAAGGGCAATTACCCTATTCCTGGCATACGCAGTTGACTGAATGAAGGTGATGTAGCAAGTATGTTGTCACCTCTCCTGATGTCAGCTTCAGCTTCCCTAGCATGAGGGATTTTACCCTGAGCCAGGGATGGCAAACCTGCCACTCTCCAGATGTTGTCAGATGGCACAGCCAATGCTCAGAGATTATGCAAATTGTAATTCTGCATCAGTGCCTAGGGCTTGCCGATCGAAAGGTCGGCGGTTCGAATCCCCGTGGTGGGGTGCGCTCCCGTTGCTCGTTGCTCGGTCCCAGCGCCTGCCAACCTAGCAGTTCGAAAGCACCCCTGGGTGCAAGTAGATAAATAGGGACCGCTTACTGGCGGGAAGGTAAACGGCGTTTCCGTGTGCTGCGCTGGCTTGCCAGATGCAGCTTGTCACGCTGGCCACGTGACCCGGAAGTGTCTCCGGACAGCGCTGGCCCCCGGCCTCTTGAGTGAGATGGGTGCACAACCCTAGAGTCTGTCAAGACTGGCCTGTACGGGCAGGGGTACCTTTACCTTTACCTTAATTCTGCATCTGGAGGGCCACAACCTGTTCTAGTCCCAATAAAAGAGTGTGGTTTTTATTTTTGAGAACTAAACTACAGCCTCCTTCTGCCAACCAAGGAAGTTCCCAGTCCACTTGAATTTGAAGGGGAAAGCTTGGGTTTATCCTAAAGATTTACCCAACTTCCTTTCATCAAAGGCAAAATAGAGAAGAGGTCAGCATGTTCCTCTTTCTAATGTCCCATTGCTAATTAGGTAATTAGGTAAATTACAAATATATCCTTGCCACTATAACTTTTAAAACAGATTTGCAAAATGCTTTTTTCATCCCTTCTCTGTCCTCATTATTTTGTGTTTGTATATAGTATTATATGCACATGCTTGCAGAGCACCATTGCTTCTAACTATAGATCCTTCTCAGAACTCAATTACAATAATAATCTAACAGAAGAACGAGTATTAAAAGAATAGTCTTACTGGGTGAAAATCTAAAGGAAGCCAAGTTTTCAAGCTTGGTGATTTCTGAAAGTCAGATAATGTGGAGATTAGACATATGGACTGCAAAAGGGTAATATTACTAAACGTATATAAGATTCTCAGCAAAGGCAGCTACAGTCTATAAACATAAATTGATGGCCAATCTCTCCTTCACTACCAAAAAATGAGCTACCTTCCCCTCTTTTTAAACCTTAGGCATCTCAATGTGGCAGTAAGTTCACAACTGTGCCTCAAAGGTCCTGGGTCAATCAGAGCTGACCAAGTATTCAGTTATATCATGCATAAGAGCAAAGTAACTGCACCTCAGCTTGGTAACATGGCAGATTTAAATTGTAAAAAGCAACCTAGACAGAATATATGTGTATGCTCTCTGTGGGTGACAGACAGGGTTTAGCCACAACAAACTAAATATACACATATTCCAATTGGAACTGACAGCTTTGCAGGCTCACAAAATGGAATTTGAACACTGTAAAATGCCAGCAGCCATGTCAGTCACACCAGGATCATCACACACCTCATGTCAGATTTCTTGGAATAGAATAAAAACCAATTTTGTTGTGTTGGTGGAGAAGGCAAGAATATATTTGTGCCATAACTGTTTATGGATATGCAAGTTTGTTACATATCATGATAGGATCAGTTTAAACATGTATTACTATCCATTTAATTAGCATTAATACCACACAGTTAAGAATTTTCAGAATATTGTTTAAATATTGCATGATTAGTTTTTCTCATTTTTTGTTAATTGCTCCCAAAGCTGAATAGAACAGCACAAATAGGAGAACCCATATTGTGGAATGATATAGGGACGCGGGTGGTGCTGTGGGTTAAACCACAGAGCCTAGGACTTGCCGATCAGAAGGTCGGTGGTTTGAATCCCTGCGATGGGGTGAGCTCCCGTTGCTCGGTCCCTGCTCCTGCCAACCTAGCAGTTCGAAAGCACGTCAAAGTGCAAGTAGATAAATAGGTACCGCTCTGGCGGGAAGGTAAACAGCATTTCCGTGTGCTGCTCTGGTTCGTCAGAAGCGGCTTAATCATGCTGGCCACATGACTCGGAAGCTGTACACCAGCTCCCTTGGCCAATAAAGCGAGATGAGCGCCGCAACCCCAGAGTCGATCACGACTGGACCTAATGGTCAGGGGTCCCTTTACCTTTACCATCCAATATGTTATTTAGTGTTAATTATTGTGCATTGCAAAATGTAAGAATGTTACTTATCACCTATCATGTTCAGTGATTTAGAAATGAAAAACAGCAGAAGGAAGCAAATTTTGCCTCACAATATGATTTTAAGCACTCTTACATGGAAGGAAGTTCCATTGAAATCTATATACCTTACTACTGCCTCCATATAGGAATCCATTTGTGTGCAGTGGTTCTTCACATGGTCTGAATTTTCTCCACATTGTTGCAAATGTATAAATGGAAAACAAGGGAAAGGCCTGCAAGGCTCAGAGAAAATTGTTAGAACCATGCAACAATGTGCTGTACATAAATGTTTCATCACATAGGGACAGCTGCCACATGGAATAATTTAAAGTGGCCTCTATGATGCAGAACAAAGGAAATGTGTAACTACTCCCTGAAGGCCATTTCTTTCCTCAAAAAACAGCTTTGGGGTGGGGTGGGGGTTGCAATTTAGATTGCTGAAGTGGCAAGGGAAGATTATTTATTATAATCATTGATATCTTACCCTTCAGGATACAAAACCTTCCTAAGCAGCTTACAACTAATATTGATACACTTCATTTTTTGGGGAGAAAAGAAACAACAAACCACATCAACATCTAGCAAGCCATAACGATCCTGGCCAGGTGGACAAGGAGGGGACATTCCAGGTGGAACAGGAATCTGCTTCTGCTGTCTTATTTGTGTGACGAAACTGGTCATCTGGAATCTTGTTGAAGTAGGTAGTGTGTTGGGGAGTGGCTGTTGCAACAGAAAAGCACCATGCTCTCTCAAACCTGCTTTTCCATACAGGAACGGACCAGTTGGGTTAGGTAAAGGTAAAGGTACCCCTGCCCGTATGGGCCAGTCATGTCCGACTCTAGGGTTGTGCGCCCATCTCACTTAAGAGGCCGGGGGCCAGCGCTGTCCAGAGACACTTCCGGGTCACGTGGCCAGCGTGACGAAGCTGCTCTGGCGAGCCAGCACCAGTGCAGCACACGGAAACGCCCTTTACCTTCCCGCTATAAAGCGGTACCTATTTATCTACTTGCACTTAGGGGTGCTTTCGAACTGCTAGGTGGGCAGGAGCTGGGACCGAAAGACGGGAGCTCACCCCACCACGGGGATTCGAACTGCCGACCATGCGATCGGCAAGCCCTAGGCGCTGAGGTTATACCCACAGCGCCACCCGCGTCCCCTAACCAGTTGGGTTAGGTTACTTATATTTGCACACAATGTGTAGTCTCATCCTTACATTCAGGGAACAATCAGCAACTCATCTTAGGAGACAGCACAAAAAACTTGATGAAATCCTGAAAAGATCTCCACTTAAAAGTCTTGTTGGAATGGAAGGGTCTTCAATAGGCACCAAAAAGACAACAGGGATGTCACCTGTCTAATGTTTAATAAGGGGAGAGAATTCCAAAGGGTGTGTACCACAACACTATAAAGTTAACAAAACAAAATTAAATATTAGAGATACATTGTTATCATGTCAAATATTTTGGGTTTTGTGAAGAATATGCCTTGTTACACTAGTGTTCAATAAACATTACTCAATTCCGTCTGAACACAAGTTTTTGCTTTCTTTATTTCACTCTTAAATAGTAAAGTACTTACAAAAATCTCCAGAGGCCCTGTTAAGTCTGTTACGGTAAAAGTGTATTGAAGCATGTTATTGAAGCTGCAGTGCTTTGTGCGTACCAGAATATAAGCATGCCTGGAACATGTTTCTTACGGTATAAGCTTTCATAGACTGCAGTCTTCGAAGGTGCTAATATTTACTTACAAGAATGGCAACTTTGTACTTTCCTCAGTCTCCCTTCAAAGAGAAACGAGTCTCAAACTGGTTACAACAAAGAGGGACCTAAAATACATTGCAAGCGCCTTATAAACGTTCCTGAATTGGCAAACACACACAGCGGTGGGATATGGAAGAGCTAGTATAGAGGGAAATGAAAAAGAGACGGGAGCAATTACTGGACCTGGGGGAAAAAGTTACAGTGGTCAATTACCGAGACAGCATTTTCTACATGAAAAAAGTTCCCAGCAACTGCGCAGCTTATTGCTCTACCAGTTCAACGGGGCTAACAGTATCCCACCCAACCACCACTTAAAAAGAAAAGAAAAAGTGGAAGCATTCCTTCTATCCACGTGTTACAGACTAAACGTCTGTACCCCTGCCCAAGTGGGTGGGATAACCCACCCTTTTTTTTAATCCCCCCACCTCGGTCAATAGCCAATCACGTAGCATTCTCACTGGGCCCGCGTTAATTTAACCCAGGTCTCTCTCCTGGTTGGCCAACTCCGTATCAGATTGGCAGCCCAACTGGGTTAGCGTCACTGGCCCTGAAGGAAAGAGCGCCGCTTTCGCAGGTAGCACGCGTGCCCGCGCCTGCACACACACACGAGAGAGAGGTGCGCGCGCGGCTTTGGAACGTAGCTGACGCTCTTCCCGCCCAGCGCCCCCTCAGCGACCGCTCCTCCGGTGGTCGGAGGCGCCTATTCTCCTGCCACCTTCCCCCCCCCCGCCCCCCTTGGCTCCCCGCGTGCGCCTGCTATTGTCCACGCCTGCCGTGCTCCTAACTCCAAACGCCCCGCTGTTCGCCGCCGGCTCGGCTCATTGGGCCGCGTCGGTTAGATTGGCCGGCGGCGCAGCCAATGGAGCTCGGTTTCCAAGGAACCGGCAGGCCCCGCCCTCCGCAGCGCTTGCGGTAACAATATGGCAGCGGCCGCTATTGGCAGAATGGGCTCGTCTTGAGCGCGGCGGCGGCGGCACTGGCGACCCTGGCACTGCAGCGGGAAAGGAGCCATCCTGAGCGCCTGCCCTTCTCGAGCGCGCTGCTCCCTTGCCTCGCCTCGCTCGGCCGGGGCGCCCCTAGAGCTGGTAAGTAACGTCCCTGCTTGGCTTATGAGGCTGACGGAATGAATGGAGGGCTGGCTGGCTGCTGTGGAAGCGGGAGAAATGGAGATGCGGAGAGAGACGCCCCCTCCTTGTCCTTTCTCCGCCGGGGTCCCCGTCTCCTCTCGCCAGTGCCTCGAGCCGGTCGGAGCGAGGCTGGAGCCCTGCGCTGTGCGCATTTCGCATGCACAATGAATGGACGGGCGGTCGTCGGAATGGGGGCTGCTTTGGTGCGAGGGAGGCCGGGAAGCGAGCGAGGAGAGAGACGGCCCACCGGGCTAGTGCTTGTTCCTACGAGCAGTAGAAGCTCCTTTCCACCCCCCGACACTCTGCTACCCGAGGGGCCATCGCTCTGTTGTGAACATCAGCTTGGAGGGAGGGGGTGTCTGTCTGTCTGTCTCTCCGCTTGAGTGTAATCTTCTGCGCTCAGACCCGATGTTACATTCTCGCCGTCCAGGGATTAGGAAGCTGGATAAAGCTTTGGGATAACCTCTGGCTGCTGTGCCTCTGGCGCGATGCGGCCGGTGTGTGTGCAGCTGCGAGGAAAACATTCGCACAATGGCAAGGAGGAAGAAAGGAAGATAATCGTTTGTTCTCCCAGAAAGGGTATAATGGCACAGATGGATCAGAGGGATTTTGGTACACCCCCCCAACACACACACACACACACACACACACACACACACAGAATAATCCTTTCCCCAACCTCTCATTTGCATCTCAAATGCTCTTGAGATCAAAGCCAATAAACTGTCCATAGGAGCTAGCCAGTGTAATGTGGAGTGTGCCTCTTAAACGTGTGGTGGAGTCACTGATGTGCTTGTGTGTTATGGTCCCCTCGTTTTGCGACATTGCCACACCGCTAGTACTGCTGCAAGCTGCTTGCGATGTCCTGTCCCGTTGGAGAAGGGGAGAGGGTTGCTTTTGTTTATAGACTGCATCCTTGGTCATATTTGGTGAATAGTGTTTAGATTCAAATACTCATAACTCAGGCAGGAGGCGGATATAGGTGACATATTGCTAAGGAACCAATGCTTATGTAGTCAATTTCCAGAGATTTCTTCCCGGTCAATGATTGGACACATGTAAATATGGATGTAGTGAGTTTTGATGGTTTGATTGGACGACACTGTATATCTGGGGTGCTCTGCATAATTCATCCTGCTTTCATGAGGATTTTTTAAAATCACAAATACAGCCAGCACAAAGACCCCAAAGCACGGATGGTTTAGAAAGTTCTCAGTTCTTTGGCTGTAATCCTTGTCAGGGAATAAGCCCCATTTAATTCAGAGGGAATTACTTCAGAGTAAGTATGTATAGGATCGTGCAGCATGCTATGTAAAAACTTGTCAGCTGTTTGTTGTGACAACTGAATCCCATCAACATGGAAAATTAGTTTCACTTGAGTTTTTTCTTTCTTTTTCTTTTAAATTGCTCTCCAGCTTTCTTGTCAGATCAGTTACATTGTGTCAGTGAATGCATTTTAAATAGCTGTAGATGGATGCCATGGAAAGTAATAGGATTTGAAAATTAACATAACTTCTCTCTTTCTTGCTTGGAAAGAACACTTCTCTGTGGAAATACTCAGCGCTGCTAAGACGTGCCAAATTACTTGACAAACTAAAAAACAAGTCAGAATTTAATGTCTGTCTTTAAGTGGGTATGTAGTTTAAGAAGGTAACGTAGTTCTGCTGTAATTTACATTTTGTAAGTCTGCTGCATGCTGTGTTCTGCATTGTGCACCCCCCACAAGTGCAGCTTGCTTTGTTTAAGGAACGTATTAGTTGCAGATGATGCAATGCATATGTATAGTGTGTTTAGTAAATATGAATATATAAGAAGAAGCTTCAGGGGAAATATGTTGCAGCATCGTTATTGAAAATTAAAATGTACCAGCCTGTTCAGTGTATTGGGTTTCAGAAGTATGTGTACTGTATACATGTTCAACATGGTCCAGTCTTGCCAATTTTTACAGTACATAAGTAGATGCTTTGTGTATCTGTATCCTATAAATCTATCTATAGAGTAGCGTAGCAGGCTAATCTTTTAGACCTCATTCCTTCAAACAGATGTAGGAATGCAATCCTAGTGTTCCTTAATCTGGTAGCTTCAGCTTGCTGCTATGATATAGCGTACAAATGAATGAATGCAATGTTGTTTCCATACACAGAGTTCTCTGCTCCCCACCGCCTTCTAATGTAAAGAGGCTCAAGGTAAGGAACAACATGGATGAGTGTGTTTTTGATTGGATACTAGAGGATTGTGTGCTATTCTCAGATGGGGAAGCCGGAAGTTGAGACTGACTTTCTTCACTGGTGATAAAGTGGAAGCCCATCTTTTCTTGTGGTGCACCTCTGAGTCTGAAAACTCACTGGTACTCCTTTATCAGTATGAATCGATGGGTGAAGAGATGGACTGCAGTGTTGGGGAGAGATATGGTTCATGTGTCCTATTGTTCACAATACCCTTTCTGTATTGTGTGTGCCTTTACTAAGAGTCAACAGGGGAGTGTTCCATTTCTCCAGCACATGCGATTGAGTTCTCACATACGTGTCCCTTGTTCAGCGACCACAACTATGATTCCTTGATTGCGTTCATATATAAGAGAGCAATTGTAGATCAAACCAAAGGTAAGGCTTTCATATCCTCTTACACTGCATCCAACACAACACAGTAGAACCTCTACTTACGACCGCCTCTACTTGGCCCCAATCCAAGTCACGACTGCGGCAAACCTGGAAGTACCGTATTTTTCCGTGTATAAAACTAGGTTTTTTCCCTAAAAAAGAATGTCAAAAATTAGGGCGTGCTTATACACAGGGCCATCTCCCCCCATTTTCTTAAATCTGGGTCCCCAAAAATAGGGAGCATCTTATACATGGGGAAGTCTTATAGATGGAAAAATATGGTAAATACCAATAATTCCCATGTTGAACAGCAAGTGTTGGACGCAATCATGTACACATGTGAATTGAGCTTTATTCATAAAATGAACGTGTAGCTTCTAACTAATCCATGGTTTAGAGAGGCTACCAGCAGGTACTTAAATAACCAGAGATATGAAAGCTCACAGACATGAATCTGTCATGAACTTGCTGGATGCAGAGGAATGGTGGGAGACACCAGCTGGAGAACTCCCAGGAGAAGAAGGCTCAGAGCCAGGGGATTGGTGGTGGGGCAATGATGTGTGGTCAGAGGAAGAAGAAGGAGCAGACTGGGAGGAGGAGGTGTTGGAAACAGAAGAGGTAACAGGGTTTAGTGAGCAGAAAGAGACTGTGGCAGAGAGCAGTTTAGACTTGTGGCTGGAGAGGAGGGTGGCCAAAAGGCAAGAGTTGAGACAGGCTGCTGAAGAATCCAGGGAGTCTCCCCCTCCTGCTGCAACCAGCTCTCTTCCCCCCATGTCTCCTAGAACATTCAGAGAAATGAAGAGAGCAGAGCTCTTTTTGGTTGTGCACAGACATAGTTTGTGACTGCGTGGGAAATAGCCTTGAGAGGAGGAGCCTTAGAGAGTGGTGGGAAGATGGGGACCTTTAGTCCTTGCAACTGCCTCATTGGAGCAGTACCTACTGGGAAGAGTTGCTGTGATCACTAGTCATGCACTATTATGGTTTCTTTGAATAATTAACTGTACTTACACCTTGGTTTTTTTTATTGCTGACCTATGTTTGACTGACAGAATCCATTATTTCCTTTTGTAATGAACCTAGATGTGCTAGACAGAAATAGCACTAAAATTAGTTCTGTGGCTTAGTATGCAATCCTGTATGCGTAGTTTCCTGGGAGAAGCCCTGTTGATCGTAGCATGACTTGCTTTCGACTATTCAGCTGGGGTGGGGAACTTCAGGTCCGGGGGCTAATGCAGCTCTCCAGGTCTTCCTATGTGGCTCTCCCTAGATCACACCATCTCAAGCCACACCCCTTACTGACCTCCTTAAGTGCTTTTGCTTAGCTGAGATCAATCCATGAACTGTGATAATTCCATTTGCTTGCATGGATGGAGAAATGTGGGTATGAGTGTGTACCAATCTTTGACTTTTGCCTGGCTGGAATGTACCCTACTGTACAAATGAAAGAGTCACATCCAGGGCTCTGTCTTATCTTCCCCTTCTACCCCCACTGTCATGTGACCCCTGGAAGGTTTCCCACAAGGGAACATGGCCCTCAGACTGAAAATATACCTGATATAACTGATATACAGTATATACTCTGTGTGTGTGTGTGTGTGTGTGTGTGTGTATACATACATACATACACACACTGATATATATATATACACTGATAAACCTGATATACAGTATATTTCAAGCATAAAACAGTCACTCAAATTAAGCCTTGCTTTTTGCTTAGCATGTAATGCAGGAAGAGACTTGCTTATATTAAACAGGGTGGGGGGAACAGAACCCTTGCATACCTGGCAGCAGACTGTGGTACCCAGTTCTGGAACCTTCTTTGTTCTCATATTAAAACAAAAATTGACTTGCTCTTACACTCAATGATATATTAAAGGGATGCTTGGAGATTACAGAGCTTTTGGGTCACAATAAAACCACAGCTGTTAACTTGTCTGAGGATTACACTGGGGATAAATTCACGCAAACTTGCAAGAATCTGGAGTTTTTATGTTAAAAGTAACCACGTCATTAAAAACAATATGTGACCATTATGGCATCGAACCCAGCTGAAAAAACAGGTACTTATCCAACAGGAGACTGGCACTTAGGTGTTTTGCCAGGGGATCACTTGCCGCTTTAACGTTTGCGTGTACATACTACTGCTTCCTAGTCTCTGATTAGATCTCTTCTTCCCGTGTTTTTGAAACTGGCAGAAACGTTTTCAATAACACTTCAGCACTAAGATAAATGATTCAAGAAGGTTGAATGACACTTGCTGTCATCTTTACTGTTAAGAACCCCAGCATGGGCGAAGCTGAAATGATCCTCAGGGAAATCCCTCCTGCACACTGCTCCTTGATTATAACCATGTAA